TTACTAACCTACTTGGCAATGATTTTGTCCATCATGATGCACCCCATGAAATGCATCCATACTTTGCCAAGTCTCCAAATTCCCCGATGTCCATCGGACTTCTCACTTCCCTTTTGGGATCCAAACCTTCTTGATGCTCTTCATGTTGGAAATGATTTCCTTTGGCACCCAAAAGCGTTTGACCCCATTGTTGGCTTGCTTCTTCACCTTGATGGCCATCACCTTGTCATTTTTCTTCTTCTTTAACAAGTATGGTGTGGAGGCCTTCTTGTCCACCATGTTGGTGTAGGTGTTGGAGAGCTTGCTTGTTTGCTTTTTCTCTTTCTTCTTTGCTCCTCCCCCATTCTTCACCTTGCACTCATAGGACTTGTGCCCTTCCTTGTGGCACACGTAGCAAACCATGGTTTGTCCTTCATCAAGCTTCTTCACTCCCTTGACGGTGTTATCTTGATGAAGTTGGGCTTGCTTCGCCCTGCCTTTCACTTGAGTCAAGTCCTTGGTGAGACAAGCTACTTCTTGCTTGAGTTGCTCATTCTCCTTTGCAACCTTTTTGTGTGCATGTATCTACAACAACTTTCTCAACATAAACTTGGTTGCACAAAGATGAGTCTAAATATAAGTCATTACAAGAAGTAGAGGCATCCTTTTTAGACATGTTAAAGATAGAACTTCTCTTTTTAGATGCCTTGGTGGGGGTTGTACCAACGACTTCAAGATTATCAACTTTATTGGTTAGCTCATCACAATGTTTGCACATGGTTTCCATTTTAGCAAGCAAACATTTATAAGCATCTTGTGAGCTAGCTAACTTTTCTTTTATTTTTTCATTTTTCTTTACAAGTTGCTTATCATTGATTGTGCATGCATTTGTTGTTGCACTAGCTTCAAGTTGCTCAATTTTAGTAGATAGTTCAACATTGAGATTAGCAAAGTTCTCATATTGTTCAAGCAAAGTTTTGTATGCTTCTTGTGAACTATCTAGCTTTTCTTTTAATTTTTCGAGCTTTTTTTGTTGACTAGTGCAAACTTTAGCATAATTAAGATTTTGTTGCACAATTTCATCATAAGAAGGCATTTCATCATCACTATCACTCTCACTAGAGGATGAGCTTTTGTTACCTCGTGCCATAAGGCACATATGAGAAGAGCTTGATGATGAGTGCTTGCGGCCTCGCCTCTTGTGATGGTGTTCTTCTTCACTTGAAGAATCATCCCATGATCTTATTGATGTGAGGGATTGGTTCTTGCATGCCTTCTTCTTTGTCTTGGGTGTGGGCTTATTAGGAAAAACTTCCACAAAGTTCCCCAACTCGCCGCATCCATAACATCCTCTCTTTCTTTGCTTATTTCTTTGATTGGTGAAAATGAGATCTTGAATTTGGATGGGCACACCCTTGACATTGAGCCTTTAGATCATCTTCTCCACCTTGTTGATAAGCTTGATTGATTCTTCATCAAGGTCGGAGGTGGAGGAGGAAGATTGATCATCATCACTTGAATCTTCATCATCATCATCATCATCTTCTTCTTCTTCATCTTCACTTGAGGAGCTTGAGCTTGAGCTTGTCTCAACTTGCTTGCCCTTCATCTTCTTTTTCTCGCTACATGCAAGAGCTTTGCCTTTGCTTGATGAAGAGGCTTCTTCTTGACCCATCTTGCGTGACATTTCAAATGCCACTATCTTGCCAATGACTATGGCCGGGGTCATGGTGCTCAAGTTCTCCATGTTGTGAAGGATGGTGATGATGCTTGCATATTTCTTTTGTGGTAGCACGGAGATGATCTTCCTCACGATGTCCGCATCATCTAGCTTTGTCAATCTTATTGAATGGCGCTCATTGATAATTAGATTCAAACGAGAATACATATCACGAACAAACTCATCATCATTCATTGTAAAGGAATCATAATTTTGTTTAGCTAGACAATGTTTTTGCTCACGGACATTAGATGTGCCGTCATGGAGCTCTTGGAGTTTTAACCAAATTTTATGTGCCGTATTTAAAGTGAACACTTGGTTAAACACATCCATGCTAAAAGATTCAAACAAGCAATTCTTAGCTCTAGCATTGAAATGTATTTCCTTTCTTCACTCTTTGTGGGTTTATCGCGATTCTTAATGGGAGTCATCCCGTCACAAGTGACTCTCCAAACTCCCAAATCAACCGCCTCAAGGTAGCAAGCCATTCTAACTTTATAATAGGGGAAGTTAGTGCCATCAAAGTGCAGAGGCCTAGAGGTATCCATCCCAATCACTCTAAATAGCGTCGGCTCAACGGCGGTTAAGCCAAAGGTCCAAATTGAACCAACCGGCTCTGATACCACTTGTAGGGGACCATGACGCCTAAGAGGGGGGGGTGAATTAGGCAACTTAAAATTCTAACTCTATACTATGGCCTCTCTTTTTAACCCTAGCAAAACCTATGCAAAATATAAACTATCTAAATGTCCAACTATGGTTTTGGTAGTGTGTTGCTATCTCTACCGCAAAAAGAGTAATACAATCAATGTAAATGTGGAAGCTAAAGAGCAAAGTAGACATATGCCCCACTGAGAAAGTAGCCATTGGGGACGAAATCCCGCTTTTCTGCTACTGACCGGACGCTGATCATGTCCTGACCAGACGCGTCCGGTCGTCCTGACCGTTGGAGCCGTAATCAACTCATCGAACGCTGTCAGCGTCCGGTCACATGCCACCGGACGCGTCCGGTCACAGTATCGCCGCTCTGGAACCTTTCTGTACTCGATCGGACGTTGTTGTCCTATGTCCGGTCAATTTTGCTTTTCAGCGATCCGTCGCTGCTGCTACCGAGCCTCTTCATCGGAGCGTCCGGTCACTGTGCTACCAGCGTCCAGTCCAGCGTTCGGTCACCTCTATGAGCTTGTTTCTTCGCGATCTTGCGTTCGGGTTGGTTCCTTTCTTCGTGCTTGGACTTTGCTTGATATCTTAGGTCTTCTCTTGTGCTTCTAAGGTCTTGTTTATGGTGTTGATCATCGGATCATTACGTCGCCTTCGTCCAAGTCACGTCTTGCACCCTATTGAACTACAAAACAAACACTTACAAATTCTTTAGTCTAATTTGGTTGTGTTGGTCATCAAACACCAAAATCCAAAGCAAATGGGCCTAGGGTCCATTTTCCTTACAAGCACCTCGTTAAACCCTGGAATTAGGGTTTTCGACCAATTGAGGCATTTTCTTGACATTTGCTCAACACGAACTCTTCATGACTTTTATTGTAGAGTTCAATTAGAGTCATTTGGGAAAGTTAACAAGGTTTGGTCGACATCTCATATTCCCATTTACTTAACAAAGCAATTCAATCAAGGTTATAACTTATCAATTCATGTGACTTCTTGATTCTAAACTTCATGAAACTTTTCCACTGGTCAAGATGGATGCATATTGATGTAATGTACATGAAATAAGCATGTTTAACATTACTCATGCCTAATCTTAACCAGGGTCCACATGTAAGCAAAGTGTATTGTCCGAGTCCAAGTTGGAGCTCATTTTCATAGATTGGACCACAACACCTTCATCATCACTTCTAAATTATGAACTAGAGATCATAATCATTGCTTGACATATCCTACTTCAGTCCAATTTCGCTGCTTAACTCGTGACTAACACCCGGGGTGTTACAGTACCGCGGCGAGGGTAGATGCAACACTCTACTGGAGCATCGTCGACGGTCTGCGCTGCCTAGTCCACACGAGGTCGGACATTGCGTTCGCCATGGGCTACGTCAACCGCTTCATGGAGGATCCTCGAGAGGATCACTAGGCCACGGTGAAGCGGCTGCTGCGCTACGTCAAGGGGACGGTGGATCAGAGGATCGTCTTCCCCAAGACCGGCGGAAGTGGGCTGTAGCTCACTGTGTTTAGCGATGCAGACATGGCGGGGGACATCGACAGACGGCGAAGCACCTCTGGCGTGCTCGTCTTCCTTGAATCGGCTCATCTCATGGCTGTCGCTGAAACAGAAGGTGATGGCGCTGTCCACGTGCGAGGCAGAGTACGTGGCGGCAGCCACAGCAGCGTGCCAAGTTGTGTGGCTGCACCTGTTGCTGGGCAAGCTGTCTGGTGTGGATGCTCACCCACTAGCACTGATGGTGGACAACCAGCCCGACATCGCCCTCGCGAAGAATCTGGTTCTCCACGACCAGAGCAAATACATCGACATCAAGTTCCACTTCCTCAGGGACTATGTCGATGGAGGGCAGATCGTTATCGAGTTCGTCGAAACTGGTCAACAACTCGCAGACATCCTCACCAAGCCGCTCGGCCGTCTTCGGTTCACGGAGCTGAAGAAGATGATCGGCATGGTGGAGGTTCTAGGGTTAGCAGCAGGATTATGGGAAGAATTGTAAAGTAATCTGTTGCTCTCCCATCTCAGTACGCGCGGTAGGGGCAGGCGCCGAAAGGGCTCCCCTACTGCTGCACTGTAGCTACGGCAGGGGCAGGTGTCGAAAGGCTCCCTGCGCACTGTAGCCACAACAGGGGCAGGCGCCAAAGTCAGCCCTGATGTCATATCTAGTCATTATAGCAGCATGGCAGCCTGGCATGTCTGTGTACTAGGATTAGATGGGTAGAGTTGTATATATAGTTTCGCACTGCAACTCAGTAAAGAGAGCGAGTTCAGTTTTGCCATCTCCTCTGCAGAGCTCCGGCCAACGCTGGTACTTGTGTTGTATGTGTGCGCGCTCTGTTCTCCCCCCTTTTTTTACCTCTAGCCGTAGTGTGCGTGGTCGATAACGACGGTGAGCAGTCGGCTCACCCGTGCCAGAGATCTCAGGACCAACATGCTGGTCGTTCTTGCTTCATGAAAAAGGACGTACGCAACAGAGTGAGAGGGTATCCAATATATTGTACACAACAACTGAAGGAGAATGTATACATATAGCTAGGCACAACATTATTCATGCACGAGTCATGACACACTATATACTCCTAAGTTCTATATATAAATTTGGATGAGGGCCATCAAAGATGCATATGTTTATGGCCTTTGGACCTGACCGTTGCTCCCATCTTCCCCTTGGAACTTCTCCTTGCTCCTCCTGATGAAATCTGCAGCCAGCTGGTTCACGTTCCACCCCAGCTGCTGGTTCCCGTCGTCACTGATCGGTGACGGCGGCGGCGGTACCCCGTTCTTGACAAGCTCGAGATTCTCCACCCTCTCGACATGCACTTCGCCTTCCACAACGGCCACGCGTGCACCAATGTTTCTGCCTCGCCACATCTTGGCTTAGCTGCTTCTGCTACTGCTATACTGAGAGGTGAGAGCTGTGTTAAGTTTTTGCCTTGATCGATCGGGGACCAGTGAGCAGCTTGTATTTATAGGCTGGCTCCAATGCGTCGATGGTCGTTGTGCTTGTGCAACAACTGCTCTCCAGCAGGCCCTGATGTGAACAAGGAGTAGCTAGAACCTAGAAGGTCTTCAAAGTGGAGCAAGACCACTGTGCAACGCAGACATATGGCCGGTCAACAACAAATCAGCAAGTAAATTAAGCTAGCTGTGCCTGCCTGAACAAACGAATGCGCTCAGAAGTCTAAAAGAGTTTGGTTCCCGAATGACAGATCGAAGTGCTGGCTGGCTTTCAGACATTGCGGCCAGAAGCATCATCCAGGACAGTAGCTGGCTAGCTGCTGCCAGACTGCAGCCAGCTGATTTGATTTCCTGGCAAAATTAAAGGTAGTGGTATGCTAGTAGAGTATGTACATAGTATATGTATAGTTTCTTCTTTTCAATTTTGTGAAGGTGCTGAATCTATGGATTAAACATGTTTTCTGCTTCCTTATTAGAAGTGTGGGGGTACAGCTAAGAGCCTAAGATGATAATAGCTGTGGCACATTTTTTTGTTCAATGTTTTTTCTTAAAAAAACTAAAACAAGATCAACTTGATTATGTTTAGTACTTAAACTAGAATAACATAACATTGTAATAAAATGTTTTTAATTGAATTGAGAACTTTATAATCTGCGCCAACAACTTCGAATTTCAATTCTAGAACTCTACTAAATGGGTTGTCATCTTTCACCCGTACATACATAGATTCATTTCTTTTAAAAGGAATCCTAAATATTTTTAATGAAAAATTGAATCTTATCTATTAGGTTCTTTAGAACTCCAACAAAGACTTGTGTACATATATTCAGTTATACATATAATTTTTAAGGTTTAACGGATCATATTAGCCTACCCCAACTTGCTTGAGACTGATAGGCTATGTTGTTGTTGTTTAACGGATCATATTATTAGCTGAATTTTTTTTTTTGGCACTGCTATATTCATGAAGACACAAGAAATTAAAGAAGATTCGTTTGTCAAGCAATCGTTAAAGGTTGTTGCTTTCGTTGTCTTTGTCAAGAATGGATGGAACTGAAGTAATAATAAACTTTGCATACGTTTTCCTTTTATTGTGTGTGCTATTTCCTCTTTATTATTTTTATTATCACCCAATAAGCTGACAACGCGGTAACTTACTGCTACCAGCATGCAGCTATGAGATTTCTAAAAAAAAATAATACCCCTTATTACGTACATCTATAAGTTTTTAAAATGGTACTAAAATAAAGTCGCCGTTACTTACTTTCCTTTTTTTAACCCTTCTGCTCTTTGTTTTTCAGTCACTCGTCTGTTGGCAAATATTTTGCAGAGGTAATCTGATATGTCCAGTGGTGCACCAAGGTTCATCAGTAATCGTCACCAGAGAGTAGTAATTGTTGGCTGATGTTATTTCGCAAGAACAAAAATTGATTGCTGTTGTTTTTTTGTAAATTGTGATAAAGATTGTTCATTCAGTAATTGACTTCCTTGCCCAACTGGCACACTACTGAATAGTGTTTTCTCTCCTTTTTTGTCTTTTGGGTGAGGAAATTGTGGCAACTTATCATTAACCAAGCATAATTAGTCAAATTTCTTTTTCATTTTGTGCCTGTAAGTTTGAGGAGATGATCCTGTAAAGGCAAACCAAATTAAAGTAGTCTAATTTTTTTAGAGGAACATCACACACAAAAAAACAAAAACAAAACTGAAAGGAAGTTGCACCAATGCAAATTATTATTGTTCTCCACAACATATGTACAAATAAGATTATTTCTACAAATCTATACACTCGCAAAGTTATTTATCGTTTAAGAAAACGAAACTTGCACACAACTAATGACCTGACGTGCACGACAACCAACTTGTTGGTTCCATGCATGCCCTGATCATGTCCTTTATGGCATTTGCAGACCAGTCGCCGGTGATCGTCCCTCCTTAGAACGCCGCCCTGTTCCTCCGGATGAACTCCTCAGCTAGCTCGTTGATGTCTCGCTCCTTTCCGTGCTGCCCTGCCGGCGGCGGCGGTGATGGTTGGATGACGCCGCCGCGCGTGGTCGACGTCACCACCATCGTCGGCGGCAGCGGCGGCGGCGACCACGGTATCCCGTTGAGGATGACGATCTTCTCCACCCTCTCAACATGGACCTCACCGTCCGCAACCACAGGTGCACCTCGGCGCCACATCTCGATCGTCTTGGCAGTAGTAGCCTCTATCTGCTGATTGATTGCTGCTGTATCTCTCTTTTCGGTCGTGTTATTTATAGGCTCCGATCCAACAGTTGTTGGGGATGGGGAAGCTGATGTTGCTTAGTCGATCACTGTACGTGCACCTCTCTCGCTCTAACCATGTGAACACAGGTTCTGGTTGGTAGATGCCAAGATGGTTAGAGTGTAGTAGTTGACTAGCTAATACTTCATTTCAATTTCAAAAAGAAATACAATTCTCATGTTTCGAGAAAACAAACGGTTTTAAATTTAATTAAATATATACAAAAAAAATACTAACATTTATATATCGTATAAGTACCATTAGATTAATTAGGGAATATATTTTCATAATATACTTGTTTGGAATCGTAAATGTTAAGAATATTTTTCTATATAAGTATGGCTCAATCTAAACTCATAATTGTATTCTTTTTTGGACAAAGATATAGTACTATCACTGCTGGAAACTCGCATTCTTCTGTGTGTGCGAAAACGCACAGAAAAATGCGAATAATTTTCTGACGGTATACCCTCAGAAAAATACACACGGAAATATAATGACAGAAAAATTCAATTGTTCTGTGTTCGCCGTCAGAAATAATTTTTCTGTGGGTGTTACACGCACAAAAAAATTGCGTTAACCCAGATTAAATTTAAATGTTGTGTGCGTTAATCCTCATAAAAAAAGGAAAACCCGACAGAAAAATAATTTTTCCGTCAATGTTGTCCCGATAGAGTCATAGAGGTACACTCACATGAAAATTTTATTTTTCTGTCAGTCTCGGTTAACGCACAGAAAAATAACAGACCACCGATAGAAAAACACTTAACCATGCAGCAAATTGGATACAATAATTATATAGAAATAGAATAGTAGCAACAACATATTAAATATGGACTGTCCATACTGTAATTCCATCACAACATAATAGATAACATACATATAAAGATCCAAATGTTCAGCACATTCATTAATGGCATCTAGGCTACATATAGATGGTGTCCAAATGGTCCGGCATCAATACATTCAAAAGCATTACCATCTCATCTCAGCAGTTCAAGTCTCAGTCAAGATGAGTAAAGTACCAGCATGCATCATTGAGTCATATTATAGCTAAAACTAAAGCTAACAGATTAGAGCCACCTACTAGTTAATGTGCAAAAGCACAACACTACAAAAGAAGAAACCATCATCACATCCATGTTTTGCAACTAAACACAACCATCACATTATCGATGCATGATCGCCATTATTGTTGGAACCTTGATTGTTGTCAACGTTTGCAGCATGAAGATCCCCATTGGTGTGGCCAACATCATTACCATTGTTGGCAGATTCTGAGGTAGCATGAGAAGACCCACTTGCCTGAATGTGAACAAAGTTACAGTAAGTGGAATTGTCTCCCAACAATATAACATTTTTAGCAAAGCCTCTAAATTGGACAAGGTTACAACAGTAAGTGGAATTGGACAAGGTTTAAAGTATTCAAACTGCTAGTTTTCAAGGTGTGAAACATTATAAACCAACATAAGGCCACTTCCTCTGCAATAGCCATGCAAATTCACTGCAGTAGCTATACAACAATCAACATGAGGCCACTTCCTTACTACTCCACTGTGTGTTGACATTCTGAATAGTACCCACAAAATACTAATCAGTTTCTACTTCCTTTCCATATTAAAATCTCTAAGTGATGGATCTGACAGCTACAAAACATGTTGATAGTGGAATGAAGATATACTCACAATTGCTTGCGTAGCGGACAAGTGTCATAACGCTTCTTCTGGTACAACCTTTCCTGTCTTCTAGTAAAGGTTCTACAAGTGTATTGCAAGCACAGATATTTTAGATTCAAATCATTAGATAATTCACATATAATATTGGTGAATTATTTACAAGAGCATTGCACATACCAGTACCAAGCCTACAAGAACTTTGTTTTGCTGCAGTGCGTTGTCCTTTTCACGATTCTCTCATTCTAGCCTTCCATTTGCACGACGTAGCTCTTCCATTTCTCGAGACATGTTTTGCATAGTCACTGAATTTGATGGACGCACACTTCTTTCCCTTCCAGCTGCCCTGACATCTAAAGACTTAACTGCACCATTTGCTATGGCAAGACGCCCATGCTTTCTCGGGGCACCACTAGACACATCATATAGCGCCTTTCCATTCAAATATTGCTGTTGCTCAACCTCATGCCCATCCACTTCCATGTCTGCACCGTCTCCATCCTCTTCGTTTGCACATTCTATCCTCTTAACAGCAGCAAGGTAGTCATCCTACAAAGACCAGAACAAGGAAACATGTTCTACATATTTACAGATAGCCAAAATGTGCTAACGTTGTATTCTAAAATTTCTGGACAGCAGCAAGAAAGTCACTTAAATAAATCATAACTAGAGTTCTAGATCACAGAAAAAATATGTTCTTTAATATTTTGGAAAGTTTAAGAAGTTCTCCACATCTTTCTAGTTATAACATAGACCTGATTCTTAAGTTAGCAGGGTGAAAAAGCACAAAGAAGCATTGCTCATTCAATGGGGAGTAATAAGATACCAGAGGGGTGCTAAGTGCAGGTTGCTGGGGCAACGGCCTTTCCTGAAAATTGAAGATAGCTACTGTCTGTATCTATTTGCTTGCAGGTAGCTAGCAGCATGGCAGCAGGTCCACAACCACAAAGCCTGGTTGCAGCAATGGATCCAGAGACCATTATGATGACAACATGCATCTTCCTCTCCCACACAGAGACTGTATATGTATATATGCTTATATGTAGAGAGAGAGAGAGGCTTCTTGTTGTCCTTCCCATGGAAAATAAAAGCACTACACATTGTGGTGCACATAGGATGGTGCATGACTTTCACTGGATTAGGTGAGATATGGCCCCCTTTTTTATCTTTAGGGGGGCAGTAATATCTTCAAGTAAACTCAACACCACTCGAAGTAGTATACACCCTAGAACTGTACAAGCAGAAATTTTCAGCACACATGTCACATACATACCATGAGTTTCTGTGCTTTGTGGCTACTGATTGAACCACATCTACCATTGCTATCCAGGCTTTTCATGCCAGATTTCATCGCAGCAAATGTATTAATAGGGGTTGCTTTCTGTGGTCTAAAGTTAGCTTCCTAAAAAATAGTAAATTTTTCAATGAGATATGAATATACAATAGGCTACTAAGTTCCTAAAAAGACATTAAAGAATAAAGAATATACACGTGCATATCAATACTTGTTGTGTCTCTGTGAATGGTCTAGATCCTCCTCGGTTTTGAGCAATATCTTCATTACTTGAGCGAGATGTTTGCCCCCTCTTACGTTTGACCTTGTACTCATCTGAGCACCAATAAGCACAAAGGAGGAGCCACACCTCATCATTCAACCACTCGAGTTTTCCTTGCTTGTATTGCTCATACTCGAGGTCAATATGGCACGCTACTGCATCTTTGATTTCTATGTGTTTTATTTCCCTGTAGTACTCCTTGACAGCAATCCACACGGACTTGATACATCATGTTCCTCACCCTTTTCTTCAAACAGGCTTCTAGAACACAGTCCGCATCTTGTTGATCTCCTGCTGCAACTTGGAACAAACGTTGCATGTGTACAAAACCATGAACATAGGTTTCACATTGCATAGATTTTAGAAATTTCAAGTTTTAGATGTTGCTCAGAAATTTCAGATTGAACATAGGTATCTTACCCAAAATTCGGAAACTACTTTTTCTCCCCTTGTCATTTCCGTAGCCTTAGGATTTTTATGAAAATAATCAGCCCAATCCAGAGCTAGGCGCTCGAATTCATCACCGTTCTCATCCACCTCCACAATCACACCTGGATATTCTCTTCTAAGTATGACCCCAAGCTGAGTAGTGTATTTGTAAGGTGGCGGGTAGTAAATATAACTAAATTGCCTATAAATAAAGTAACAGGTCAGCACAAAAGGCTGCTAGGATATGGAAGTTCACAGCAACTGCAGTAGAATTCATGCAAGTATTTGGACATGGAAGTTCACAGTGAACATGTAAGAGATAAGACTTTGGTGCAGGTTTACATAAATTTCAAAAAAAAAGTTCATATTATACGTACACACAAGTAGACAACCATCTAAGCACTAATGGTTGCTAAAATAGTTGAGTGTGATGAGCAGCTTACTGCTTAATTAAACACCAATTAGTCAGAGTCACTAGTAGTTGCTAAAATAGTAGAGTTTGGTGCAGCTTACTGTTTTATTACCAGCTAGCAGCCAAGTATATGGATCTTCTTGTGCCACACTCACCTACTACAACAGTATGAATTGAACTCTATGAAAGAGATGACAAGGAAAACAAATCATGGTTGCTGCTAGGTACTATAAGCCATAATCTTCTTATCTGCAACAAAACAGGTAATGACCATAGGCATGTCTGCAACAAAACAGCTAATGCTTATCCATGTCTATTTATTTTTTTTATAGATGCTGATCTCAAATAATTTTAGACATTCGTGGAGTAGAAAAACTTTGTGAAATAACATGTTAAAGCCATTGGATATGAGTCTTAAGGAAGAACCCAACATTGATGATTTGCTCATTTGTCAAAGGAAAATAATGTCTATCTGGTTACAGCTACTTCCCTTTATTATTTTTGTGAATGTATCATTTTCTACCTGCAGTAATCCAAATGTTGTCTATTGTATATATATATTTCGGTTTTAAGTTATTAATTTGTAAGATGGCGGATAGTAAATATAACTGAATTGCCTATAAATATATATTATATAGTAACAGGTCATCACAAAAGGTTGGCTGCAAGGATTATGTGCATATGCTAGTAGAAGGACATCATGTGCAGCTAACAAATTACTAGCACCAAAGATCAGGAGCCAACAAAGAATCAAGCAAGAAATGCACTCACTCGCCACCACTTGGTTTAAGAGCCACTTTAACACCACGTGGAGGTTGTTTAAATTTTGTTCGGGACCCTGCCTTCCTTCCTCTTTTCTTGGGTGGCTCTATTGGGGGAGCTTCAACAACTATTGTCCTTTGTGAGGCATCGCCTGCAGTTCCAAAACCTTCATTTGTTTGGACTGCACTGCTGTTGGCTACACGGCGTGTGTGTCGAATGGAATGGACCATGGAACCGCCTGCACTTTCAGAACCATCATTCCTTTCGGCAGCACGAAAACTGGGCACACGTTTGTTGCATGTAATTGACCATCTACAGAGAGATACAATATGTTAGATCCATCTTAAAACAAATAGTGCATCGGACAACAAATTATTGGAGGGGCAGCAAACATGGAAACTGCTATATTAATAAAGGATTGGAGAGAAAACAACATGAATTCAGATTTAGTAATACTGAAGCACACATGCAAACAGATATATTAATAATACTGGACTGTTGGCTGCATATTCAAAAATAGTTACATAGGATCTTATGCATAACAAATAGCATAACTAAAACATATGTTTTGGACTGCATATTCAAAAATCATTTGGATCATAAGTTTCTTCATCTTCTTCATCCATTGCTTCATCATCCTCTTCCGTCTCTTTCTCTTCTTCAATAGCTTCTTCATCATATTCCTCATCCAGAACAACTTGTTTCTGTATTGCTTCCAAGTCTTTTGGGTCAGTAACCTCATCTGATCCCATTGCAATTATGGAGTCCAAGGCATCACTCAAATCAATGACAAAGGCGCCATCCAAACCATCCGCTTGGTAGACATCCTGCACTACCCCTTCCATATTCATAGCTTCACTACTGCTTTCATTCATAGGCACACATCCATGTGGAGCAACATGGTAGACAACCCACCATGAAGACAACTCTCTGTTCTTACACGGGTATGACAAATAGTACACTTGAGTAACCTGACTAGCCATCACAAATGGGTCAAAATTTGATAATCTTAATGTATGATTGATCTCTACCAAGCCTAGATCTTCAATACGCCTCAATCCATTGGGTGTTGGATCAAACCAGGAGCAATAAAACAGCACCAACTCTAGTTTCATGCTGCCTTCCCACTCAATTTTAATTATATCTTCTATGATTCCATAATACTCTAGAGTATTGTCTGATTCATCAAAAGAAGTTACACAAAGACCACTATTGATAGTTGTTAGCCCTACTCTTCCACTCTCATATTTCTTTGAATGGAATCTATAGCCATTGACATCATAACACCCATAGGACCTAACTCGAGGGCAGTAACCATAGGACATTTGGAACAGAGCATTGTGAATGCTAGCTATTTTCAAGCACTAAAAAACCACAATTTATGTGATAAATTTTTTATCATAATTCACAATGTTGGAACAGAACAAAGGCCGAAGTGTAAGAAAATTACTTGCTCTTTGAACCAATCAAAAAAATTTGGACCAGATTGTATACCATGGCTATTTTTCCAACCATTTAACCTTAAATCACGACGTTGCTGGTCTGTGGGAGCTATACGGCTCTTCCACTGTTCATTATCAAAGTGTCTACATGAACAAAGTTCTTGTTATGCCTAGATAATAAAAAATCTAAAACAGAACAGTAATGACATTTTTGGCAGAACATACGTGAAGAAAGCATCCATCTCTGGCATGTTTGTTAATATGTATAGAAAAACAACCTTGTACTCCTTGTTTGAGAGTTCACGAACACCTCTAGGGCTCATGCACCGACCCGGGCAATTAAAAATGTCAAGGTCACATGTACCTTGAAATGAAGATGCACAATCATCATAGCGAGGCACCTTATTTCTAACAGATGGAGCATGGGGTCTAAAATATAGACTTAGTGTATTTGCAGCCTCTTCAACAAGAAATGCCTCAACAATGCCAGCCTCAACACGAGCCTTATTTCTTACTTTTTTCCTAAATTTTTGGATACACCTATGAAGTGAGAGCAACGTATTACAGATAGCTAACTTACGGTCAGTGACATAAATAAACTAGTTATTTGAATATTTCTAGATTTACCTCTCATATGGATAGCACCAACGTGCTAGGACAGGACCACCTAATCGTGCTTCATAAGGCAGATGTATGATGAAATGTTGCATAACATTGAAGAAACTAGGAGGAAATATCTTCTCCATTTTGCAAAGAAGCACTGCAACATTCTCCTCCAGAGAGCGGATAACATCTTTTCTAAGCTCTTTGGCACACAATTGCCGATAGAAGAAACTAAGCTCAGGCAAACAACGCCACACATTATCTGGCAAAAACCCACGAAACACTACAGGGAGCAACCTTTCCATAAAGATGTGATAATCATGACTTTTTACTCCAAAAATTTTCTTTTGCAGCAGATTCACACCACCCTTCAGATTGGATGCATATGAGTCAGGGAACTGCAATTCTTTGAACCATTGTAGGATGGTTCGCTTAACATCTTTGTGAACGTTGAATGGACCTCTAGGCCTATCCCACTGCCCATTGCTCTTTTGCATCAAATGCATGGAAGGACGATTACATATAATAGCCAAATCTAGCCTAGCTTTCACATTATCTTTGCTCTTTTCAGCTATGTCAAAACATGTGTTCCATATGGCTTCACCCATATTTTTTTCATTATGCATTACATCAATATTGTGTGGAAGTAGCAACTTATGGAAATATGGAAGCTGCCTAAAACAAAGTACATGTGCCCAATTGTGCAATCTACCATAGGTTTGTGTATCACCAGCAAACTGGTTCACATGGGCTTGCACTTCCTCCCCTGTTAAGTATCTAGGTGCCTCATCAAATACCTTGGTGTTCTTGCGAAAAGCATTAGCTTCATTTCTAAATGGATGATCTTCAGGCAAGAAACGCCTATGGGTATCAAACCAGCAAGCCTTACGCCCATTAGGGAGTAGGAATCCTCGACAACCACACCCATATGGGCATGACAACCTACCATGGGTGCTCCAGCCGAAAAAGTCCCCATAAGCCATAAAGTCATGTACTGACCAAAGGTAGATTCCTCTCATTGTAAACTCCTCCTTCAACGAAGCATCCCATGTTGTGACCCCCTTCCATAGTTCTTGAAATTCGTCAACTAAGGGCTACATTAAAACGTTCAATTTTCTACCAGGATGCTCCGGACCAGGAACAACAAGTGCGAGGAAAATATACTCAGACCTTAAGAGTGTGCCAGGAGGTAGGTTCAGTGGGGTCACAAAGACTGGCCAACGTGAGTAAGGTGCAGCATTCACATCAAATGGTTTTAAACCATCTGTTGCTACTACAAGGAGCACATTTCTTTTTTCTTGTCCAAATTCTGGATAGTCCACATTAAATTGTTGCCAAGCCTCTCCGTCACAAGGGTGCACCATCTTACCACATGTTGTGGGACTATATGATCTCATTAACTTGGCTGTCTCCCCATGTAGATATAGCCTTTGCAGCCTATCTGTGATTGGAAGATAGCGCAAAACTTTGCGTGCAACCTTTGTTCGCCCTTCCACATACCGATTAGCACCACAAAAATGACATTTATCTTTGTCCTTGTTATCTTTGTAGAATAGCATGCAATTGTTATAACAAACATCAATTTTGATATATTTCATACCAAGACCCTCTAATAATTTCCTAGATTGGTAAAAGTCATTAGGTAACTTGGAGTCAGGAGGAAGGAGTTCATGTACTATGCCTACTATATCATCATATTCTGCGACGGACATGTTGTACCGTGACTTCACAGCAAACAAGCGAGCTACAGCAGACAAGCGTGAGTGTGTGGTTCTATCATGCACCAACTCATCTGCACTAGCAACCATCCTATAGAAAGCTTTGGCATATGCTGATGGTTCAGCATCCAGTATAGGTGGATGGTGCCCAGCAAGCTCAACCAACATTTGATCCATCTGATCAGCTTCATCAGTGCCCTCTCTATTTCCCACACCATCATATCCATCATGTGAAATCAGCCCCTCACCATGCTCAGTCCAAGCTTCATAGTCTTCCTTAAAACCATGCCTACACAAATGCATCTCTATAGTGTATCTTATATGGCTAAAGTAGTTCCGACATTGTGCACAAGGACACTTAATAGTATCATTTTCAGCTACACCAGGAATTGAAAATGCACTATTCAAGAATTCATTGGTTCCATCAATCCATTCATTTGAGGGAGCTTTGCCACGTTGCCAACCATTATACATCCATGTTCGGTTTGACATATTAACTAGGTCTGTTTCAAATATTAATATATTAGATATTACAACAAAGGAAGCTCAATTATTTTTGGTGCAAGGACAGACATTCCAAACTCAGACAAGTGGGCACACAAATAAAATATAGAATAACAACATCGTCATACAACAAATAAAATTAGTGAAGAAAGAAGTGTACCTTGAGTCTCACAGGTACTCAACAACTCTTCATTGTCTACCTCCAATAGGAACCTTCAGTCCTTGCTTAGCCCAAAATCTTTACTGCAGTACATCAGGGACATGAGATTAGAATTTCCAGTAAAAAAAATTCATGCTATTAGTGAGGCCACTATGGCTGATATGCTGCCTATAGGTACTGAATAGGTACATGTCATGAAAATATCAATATTATATATTCTAGAGGGAAGAGGGAATACAACGGGTGCCGGAAGCAATATGCGCAGGTATCTTCAATGACTTGGGTAGTGGAAGCAATGTGGATGTCTACGTGATAACCAAGGTACATGTTTTCTGTTTTTATTTTATAGTTCCAGGGCCAAACCCTGGTCCAGATCCATTGCAAAGGAACCAAAGTAACAAGCGTTTACAAAATTTTAGAGCAGAGCATCCTCATCATGTGAGGGACATAGGTTAATCTCAAATGCCACACATGCAACAAAGAGAGCAAGTTAAACATGTTATTGTGAAAGCACGACTTACCAGCAACTCGTAGAGAGTAGACGGAGCCTCAAACAACATGTAGCAGTGGCGGAGCAAAGCACAGAGACTGAGAATATGAGCAGAAATAAGCCCCAAAAAGTCTTGTGTTACACAGCATAACAAAAAGGAGAAATAATCTCAAATACTAATGTGTCCAGAGAGTCAAACCATCAATGCTGACTTGTTCATTAATTTTAGCTATTCTGTTTCACTTAACACAAGAACTCCAGATTATTCAGAAAGGCATTAATCTTTTTCTGGTTAAGCTACACATCAATTCTAGATTATCCAGGAAGGCATGCGGGATAGCAACTCATATTTAATCATAGATAGTCATATTCCAGGACATCTATTAAGCATAGATAGTCATAATTGAACGGATTGAGTAAAGCAATTTTTATAATATATTACTTTACTAGTAAACTAAATCAAGAATAATACATCATCTTTTACACTAGAGTAGAGGATTAAAGTACATCACCTTACACTTGGGGTTAGATCAGATCCGTTCCGAATACAGATAACCAAATAGCTTAAATTGGGGTTTGTGCTCAGTTTTGCACGAAGGAAGGGAACAGAAGCGACAAGCATACCTGGCGGCGCCAGGACGGGCCGCTCCCTGGAGGCCGCGTGCAGACCGCCGGCGGATCTAGCGCAGGGAGGTCGCGTGCAGGTGCGTCACCGGCAAATCTGGCACAAGCCTCGACCGGCAGCGGGCCTGGGGAAGCGCACGGGAGGGGTCGTGCTGGAAGGGGCGATGTCCGTCGGCGGGCTGGGGTGGCGGCCGGCGGCGCACAGGAGGGGCCGCACCGAGAGGGCCAGCCACGGAGAGGTGAACCTAGGGCGGCGCCACAGGAGGGGCCGCGCCGAGAGGGCCGGCCACGAAGAGGCAGATCTGGGGCGGCGCACGGGAGGGGCAGTGGGGCTAGGGCTGGGGCGATGGGAGAGGCCGCCCGTAGCCTGGTGGCATGCGGATGAGAATGAAAAGAGAGGCGGTGGGGTGGTTCTGTGCGTGGGTTCAGGCTTAGGATTTTTTTTGTTTTTTTATTTTTTATATAATGCATTTGCTATTCAGCGGGCTAAAAGGAGCTGACGCCAAAGTTTGGGCGCCAACCCTAAATCTGGTGTGTGCGATTGAATTTTTCTGTACGTAATATATGACCGATAGGATAATTGCTATTTTCTCTGTGCGTTCCAACAAAACCGACAGAATAATTATAATGTGTGTATTGTCACGCACAGAAAGATAATTGAATTTTTCTGTGAGTTTTTGTATTTTTCTGTCAATATTTTTAAAACTGACACATTAATGACTAATTTTTATGTGTGTACAGAGAAAAACGCACAGAAAAATTCATCACCCACAGGAGTATTCGAGTTTCCAGTAGTGTATGTAAGAACTCTTGGTATGTCTTCATGCATATCCATCATCAACTAATAACCAAATCTGCACAAGTAATAACAAAGCTATACGTATGGTTGAACTGAATGTAGAAATTAACAAGCTAGCTTAGTCACGAAGCTTATGAAAAGTCCAAACAGAACAGGGTTTGGTTTTCCTTCAGAGTGACAGAAAGGAGCGATTGGAAACGAAATGCAGAATCAACAGACACCAGCTATGTATATAGGCCAGCTCCAGCCTCCAGCTGGGTAGGGAAGATATGTTGGATTTTGTTCGATTATTCCTTCCTTCGTCGGGAGAGAATAATGTATACTGCTGGTGCCGGACCAGGACCTGTTTTCAGCTCTTCACACATTGCTGCGTGGCAGCGGCAGCGTGCATGCTACTCCTACGTACTAGCACCTGAATGCCGGTCTACGGCGATATAGACATTGGTACCCGGCTTTTGTTCCGCCTGTGCGTGCAGCTTTTTGAGAAAGAAGATGCTGTATACCACGTTTACTACGACCTTTCGTGGTATATATCTATCTAAATTCGAGCATCATCGATGTCTCTTCACGTACCGAACATTGAAAACTGATGTTGCTATGTCTGTCTTCTTGGATACTCTGGAGTAGTAATTTACTCTGTTCGTTCTAAATTATAAGACGTTTGGGTTTCTTTAGAAATGTAGTTTTGTTGTGTACTTAGATATATACTTAGATACATAATAAAAACAACGTTTTACTATGTTTATGAAAACAACTTTTTCTTCCTTTAGACTATTTAGGGCAGTCACAGGCTCAAAGCGCATCCAACGTCTAGTGTTCGAGTCAATGAAAAACTATATTAAATAAGGCGTGGCTAGCGCCGGACGCGCCTGCCCCGCATGCGGCTCACATGCTGCATACTTCGCATGTTGGTTGCGTCCGTGCCTACTACTCGTGTGCGCCTGCTTCTCCCACCCTCCCTCTCTGCTGCTCGCGTCTGGACGCTTGCCCACATACTTCGCCTGCTGCTCGTGTGCTGCTGCCTGCTGCTCGCGTGCTGTTGCTCGCATGCTGATGCGCGCCTACGCCTGTTGCTCTGCGGGTGCTGAGCGCATGCACCTGCCGCTCGCATGTTGCTGCGCGCCCACACCAACTACTACGCATGGATGTGGCGACCACCTCGCACGCGGGACCTCCTCCGCCTGCGCTCACTTCCCTCACCTGCGAATGAAAACACTTGCAACATGAAGCATTTATTGCGAACATACGTATAAAACAGATGAAATATTTGAAACATAAGGTTGCAACATATGTGTATAGTCATTACAACATATGCAACACCCTAAATAAAATACTTGTAATATATATCTAAACCAGCTGAAACATTTGGAACATATACTTACAACATCCGTGTATAACTCTGCAACATATGCAACATCCAGATAAAACACTAGCAATTTGCAACATGAAAACACTTGCTACAACATAAGACTGAAAACAGATAAAACATACAAAACATACTCTTGCGACATATGTGAAACATATAAAACATCCAAATCAAAACGCTTGCAACATACATCTGAAATAGATGAAACATTTTGAACAAACTCTTGCATCATTCATTTGAAACACTTGCAACATATAAAACAACTCAATCTACTTTTGTAACATCCATATGAGGCAAGATACCTCCAAAACATCTGAAACACTTGAAATATATGCTTGCAACATGCACTTTTAACGCAGTGCAACATCTCCTTGCTGCTTGGGAGAATGGAGGCTCGTCGACGTGTGGAGTTCACCGGAGGTAGTGGTCCGACGGTGCTTGTAGGCAGCGGCCCGACGACGCTTGTAGGCGGTGGGCCGACAGCAGCGGCTGCGCAACGCATCAAGGAGGCAGCGCCCGCACGACTAGGAGAGGGAGCCAAATTCACCGGGAAGCCACTCGTGCGGGCCTGCCGCGCTGGTTTGCCTGTGACTATGGGGCCATCAGCGCTGCTCCACGTCGTGGCCCGCTCATGCTGAGGTCACACGAGGCACGCGCGAGAGAGAAAAGGCAGAGGCAGGGAGACACGAGAGATCGAGACAAGCTGTGGCAGATATTTTCCAAGGCACGCATATGCAGACGGTACAGGAGCGGGCGGGTTGGGGTATGTCTGAATGGACGAACGTCCTCAGCCTATGGCTAGCGCTCGGACATACAGACGCTATCACGCATCCAAACGCCTACGCCTGCCCTGCATGCGGCTCGCATGCTGCATTCTTTGCATGTTGCTTGTGTCTCGTGTCTGCATCTGCTGCTCGCTTGCCTACTGCTCACATGTGTCTGCTACTCCCTCTCTACTGCTCATGTCCGGACGCCTGCCCACATACTTCGCACGCTGCTCGCGTGCTCCTACTACACGCCTGTGCCTACTGCTCTACTGCTGCTGAGCACTTGCACCTACTGCTGCTCGCATGTTGCTGCACGCCCATGCTGCTGCGCATGGACGTGGGGACAACCCCTGAAGGAGTGGAAAGGGTGGAATATTAGTTATATTGCATTGGGCCTCATGTGCTGATTATATAGAGTACATAGACCATCGCGTGGAACAGACTGGTCCTAGACCATCGTGGAATAGACCGGTCCTAGACCATCGTGGAATGGTCTGGTCCTAGGATTCCTATTTACTCTAACATCCCCCCCCCCCGCAGCCACAGCGGGAGTGTCGTAGACGGTGAGACTGGAGAAGAAGCTAACAAGCTAACATCCCCCCATTGTCATAACAGTTGATGTGTCACGTAAGTTGTGGCTGGAGAAGAAGCCGATGAGTCCTCATGCAAGGCGGTAGCCCTTTGTCCCGATGTTGAGGTAGCCGAGCGTGAGGGCGCAATAGCCATGGATGAAGAAGCCATGCTGAAGATGGTCGAGGTTGATG